GTTGCATTCTGTTGTTGCTGATAGTGTAGTTGTTGTAAGTGTTGTTGCTGTTGTTGATTGCTAACAGTTTGTGCATCCTGTTGTTCCTGCTGTTGTTGTTGTTGTTGTTGACGTTGTTGCTGGTGTTCAGCACTGTTGGTAGCATTAGCATTTGGATTGCCACCCGTACCGATTAAATTAGTTTGACAAGATTGCAGCGAAAAGCGTGAATAATTTGAATCAACGACCGTCCATTGCAGACCTGGGAATGGGAGAGAGAGAGAGAGAGTGAGAGAAGAGTGTGAGAGAGTTTTATTAAAAAGAAAATCCCTAATTAGAATTTAACTAGAACTACATTTTTACTTTAGAAATTTACTTATTTTGCTTTTTTATCAAATTCGATTTTTACAATTAATATATTATTTGTTTTACTTGATTAAGAGAGAGATAGTTAGAAAGATTGCTAATGCTAAATTATTTAAGTTAAAATGAAGTATCAATTACAAAAAAAAAAAAAAAATTTATAATAAATAAATAAAAACAACAAAACAAAAACATATGTATATAAAAAAATCTTTTAAATTTTTTATTCTATGTAAAGAAAGAAAAATTAAATCAAATTTCAAAATTAACTCAGACTCTGTGCTATAGCTCTCTCCTGATCCCAAGTACAGCAAGAATGGTGTTGAAATAATTAGTAATTCGTTTTAAACATTTTCTCTTTGCAACATGATTACGTAGTTAATTTTAAGTTTTATATTAAAATTTTCATTTTTTTATTCTATACCTTAGAATTTAGATAGGCGAAAAGCACTGTATATTTAGCTTTAGCATTCATTCTTTCAACTTCTTTTGGTAATCATATTTTTTTTAATGTAATAATAAACACAGCACAAAATTATGACGTAGCAATCGTAAAAAAATGATTAAAGAAATTTCGAATCGTGATTTTATATGACAATAAAAAATATATATACACAAAAAAGATTTATAAAAATCAAGACAATCAAATTTTGTGTTAAGGTGTTCTGAGAAGTGATCATTTTGGATAGCTACAGAGGAGTTCGATTGTATAAATGCAAAATTAATAAGTAAGATATACAAATGAAAAATAAAAATATATTAAATAAAATCAAAAATACAAAAAAATGACTTATTAGTTAATGAATAATATTTTGTTTCTTTTAAGTTTAACTATGAATAAGGACTACAGAATATATATTTAATTAAATGATTTATATCGTATCAACTATACAAAATGAATGATTATTTAAAAAAATAATGTTAGTTTCGTCAGAAATTTAGGCAAATATAATCTCTAAATATTTAACATTATATATATATTATAAAAAAACGTGTCAGTAGATTAAAGACAATCTGTAAGCTTCACTAATTGGTTATTATTTAATTTTATATTAGGTATATCACATATATATATTCCAATATGTTCTTAAATAAAGCTAATTTAATTACTCTCTGCTTCTATAGAGATGTTTTAAATTTATTGAAATGTAATTAAATTTTATTAATTGCTTGCACAAAGTCAGAGATTTTTGAAAGTTAATTTATATTAACGAAAAGCGTATATATTCTAATTTGACTTATAAAGAGTCATAAATCGAATTTCTCAATTTTATTCTATAGACTTTTATATCTATTGACTTATAAAGCTATATAAACAGTTCCTATTAAACTGAGGTGCTTTTTATATATTACACCTATACTGTAAAATTCAAAGTTTTTAATAAAATATTTTAGTCTTATACTACATTAAGTTAAAATTGTATGGTGTTATTGTTGTATCATAAAAATACAATAGAAATTAAGAAGATTATAAGGATTTATAAGGAAATTATTTATTTCGGCAATATGTAAGCAACCTTACTAAACTCTAAATGAACATCTTTTTTTGCAAATTTACTACAAAAAAAAAAGATAAATACTAATATGCAATAGTATTAAAATATGTAATGAAAAACTGTAGATGTTTAAAACAAAAACACTAATAGAATAATAGAATAATGTACATTTTTAATTAAGCTTACCTGAGTGTGATGATTGAGAATTAGGTGCGTCATGTTCCGATGGTGTTGTAGCTCCCGATATATCAAGAGGAATAGACTGTTGGACGCCACTAATATCTACCTCAGGTTTCTGCAAAAACAAAATATATATATATATATATTCATATATGATCTCAAATCAATTAATTTTATTATTTTTATATTTAATGTATTTATGGTTAGTTTTTATGTTAAAAATTACATTAAAACATAGTGAAAGCTCTATTAAATATACATCTTTCTTAAAAGTTTCTAATATCAAAATTTTATTTTTCACACATAGTAAGTTATTTTTTTTTAAGTGTAGTTTGCTTATCCTGACAAAATTTTTGGTTTTATCAGTATTAAGAGAGCTTTCACTATTTGTATTATCATAATAATAAAAGTTTATTACTAATAAAACTTTATAATTACTTTATTTTCATTAACAAAACAATATATATTAAAAATTATATTTACAATTTGCATATGTACGTGTCCATGGGTGTCATCTAAACTATCCGAATCGTGTGCATGTGGCTCTAAATCTGTACTACTATTATCCTTTAAAAGTTTAGTTGTATGTAGAGAATGGGCGCCAATAACACCTAATGTACCAGCATTACCACCTGTATTGAATGACATTTGATTCATCTGTGAAAGTGTTATTCCTGCAGCTGTATTACCAGCATCTAATGATGTATTATGTGGATCTTCTGAATTATTACGATCGCCTGAACCTAATATTATATAATAATTTATATATATTATTTTAGTTTTTTAGTTTAGTCTTGTAATATAAATTACCATTATTAGAAGATTTACGTAAACGTTTTCTTCTTGTAGCTGGTGATGCACCAGCGCCTAATGGTGATGGTGTACGTCTCAGCTGATGATGTGTAGTTTGCGTTTGACTATTTTGTTGCTGTTGATGATGTTGCTGTTGATGGTGGTGATGCTGTTGTTGCTGCTGCTGTTGTTGTTGCTGCTGTTGTTGTTGCTGCTGCTGTTGTTGTTGCTGCTGCAATTGTTGATGATGATGCTGTTGTTGAAATTGTGATTCCGTACTACCCCATAGTGAATCGCTTACACTACCACCGGTACTACTACCTAGACCACCACTACTAGCACCACCGCCTTGACTATTTCCTGCACTACCCATAAGTTCGGTTGCTTCATTTGATGATTTACTTTCTGATTTTGTTAAGTTGGCAGGATCGGTGGGCATTTCAGCTAGTCCTTTAATTTTGAGCATTTCTGCGGTTTTAAGTATGTGAGGCAGTTGCTCTTGAGAGACGTTTACCTCGCCATAGTACATAAAATCGACCATTGTTTTAAGATCGTCATATTGTACATCTTTAAGTATAACTATCGGATGTTGACATGGATTTGTTGTGAAGAGGGTCTATACATAATTAAAGTATTTATTGACATTTAGTATGAGATTAATTTGTTTATCAACTTACTTGAAAATATGAACTACAAGCAGAGAGTACTATCTTATGTGCTTGCAGTTGTCTGCCCTCAGCAGCCAATGTTACATCAACTAATGTACCATTGTGTAGTAGTGATGAACAAACTGATATAAAGTTTGGCTGATGGTTATTCCAACGTAGGCAAAACTGCTGTACTGACATGATAAATAATTTATGTGCAGTTACAGTAGCAGTTAAAGTCGCCTCAGTTTTCTTTAATATTTCTTATTAAACACGTTGATATATATCCGCTTTGATTATGTAGTTAGTAATATAAAATTTAATATTTTGTTTGCTGATTTTTTAGCAGGCTCCTTAGTTGCTTCACATTTCCAATCGTCTATTTAATTAAAAAAAAAATAAAATAATAAAAAATTAACGTATTTTTAATAAAATTTTAAAAATGGAATTTATGTCTACATATGCAAGTCTTTACATGTTATTGGTTTTTTTTTGCATACGAATCACTCAAATTATGTTTATATATTATTCTAAACATTAATTATATTGTATATTTGCATTTTACAAAACTTCTTGAGCACACAAGTGTAAGAAGTTCTTAGGAATATATATTTTGAGAAAATGGAATTGTGGTTTTAATGTACACTTGCACACCTTTCTAACCAATCGGGCGTCTTAACCTACAATTCTTGTTTATTTTAATTTTCGTTTCATTCTTTGTTCCGTTTCTTTATGTTGTTCACAATGAATTGATATTTTTCCATTCTATTTTGTCAAACTTTATAGATATTTTTCAGTTTTAGTTTTAGTTTTAGTTTCCATAAAATAATAAAATTAATATTAAACGAATTTCTTTAAGTTCTGGTATATTAGAAGACCTTGAATTTTTAATTCTTATGACGTCATTTACACTTTATTTTTGTATTATTATATTTTTTGTAACATTTAGCAGCTGCACAATTATATACAATTGCACAATTTAATTCATAAACACAACTTGTATTACACTCCGTATGTTATGGCGTACATATTATATTTAACATTTAATCACAGATTACAATATTTTTGCCTACTTAATCGGAGGTTAGATTCCTGTTAAAATCATTAAAAACAATCCTTGAACTTTAATGAATGAATGTATTAGCCGCCGAGAATAAAAAAGCGGAAAGGCAAGCCGCCAATCTTTCACAGTGTTGCATTTCATACATTCTTACAATGCTCAACGAATATCATGCGAAAAGAAGGCAAAAAAAATGTATGTATATTGCAAAAATATTAATTATTGACTTTTACATTAAAGTTACGAACTCATAAAAAAACAAAAGTTATAAAAAATCATAATGCATTAACATACAAATTATATATTTATAACTTAAAACACATATTAACACATTCTTTACATATTTTTTTTATTTATTCCAAAGAGATATAGGAAAAACGACAAACAAAATGGCGCTTTGCAATAACGAAGTATTTTTTCCAACATATTTTTCGCTATAAAACTTAACCTTCATTATTGAAAATATATACTTTTAATTACTCATTGTTAAAACTCATTATTTTATTGCTTATATAATATTAAGATACTTTTTATCGCCCTCAATAAATAAAATTATTCTTACGTTTTAACTGAAGCACAAAGAGAAGAGAGAAACTGTTTTTTATGTAATGGAAAAATCCAAAATAAGAAAAACACTACACTAGCTACATCTGGCGTGAAACTTTAGAACATATTTTATTCTAAAGATATTTACACAAAGAATGTTCTTGTCGGTGTCATATGGTTATAATACATAAATTTTATTTAAAATAATATCAGTATAAAAATCTTATATGTGTACTACTATATGTATATTTCTAAATAAATATAATGTTTGTTACAACAAAGTTATGTTAAACTAGTAACATTATTTTTTATAGGAATAATTCTTTATCACATCATACAAATGTTATATGTGAACATTGCGCATTTTATTATTTTTTATTTATTATTTTAATTTAAGTAAAAAATTTTTATTACTACTTATATTATTGTTCTTAATTTTTCAAATACATATGGTAAAATAAAACATTTAATAAAATAAGGTCCACATTTATGCTACGCTACATTCAGCATTAAGTGTGCAGAAAGAATATATTATACCACAAATCAGAATATTTATATATATAAATGATTAAGATTATTATTTTTATGTTTGAATATTATTTAATGTAAACTAAAAAATTAATGCGTTATTAAAAAAAAGCAATATGATGAAAAATTCCGTGTTGTTTTTTATGTTAATTGTAGAGCATATTTATTTTGTGATCTGATTATATATAGATAAACTTGTGTGAACACTAACACGAAACTAATAATACATGACTTTTATTTTGTTATCAATGGTTAAAAACATTTGCACATTCATATACCCGTATTTTTCTAAACAAACCTTAAGTTTATTTAGCAAAATAACTGAAAGTTATTAGCTACGTTTCAGCAAATAATAATCCGCTTAATTTAATTAAAACTTAATTAAATCTGCACTTTTCATTTATTTATTACTTAATTTAAGTAAAGTTTTAAAGTAAATAATAAACAAAAACCTACATTTAATAATTCAGATATTTCAGCAGATTTTATATATTTTTATTTTTATATATAAAATTTTTTCAATTATTCATTTAGCGCCAAAAGTATCCATACAAATTAAAATAAAATTTTGTGAACAAACACAGCTGACATGTATGATGCATTGCCAATTACTTTCACATGTGATCCCCATTGTTTCAGTAACGAAGATACAGATCATTGTTTGCTAAAACGTAGCTAATATGTATTTTGACGCACATAATGCAATCCTATTTTATACAAAAAATTACGAACCCAAATTATTAAAAAAAAAAATTGAAATAAAATTTGTAATTCACAATAGTACAATTGTATATCGATATTGTGAATAATTCTTATAAACTAAAGAAAAGCAAAACAAAATATTACTGAAACGGTCAGTATTTTCATTTCTGTCCGCAATCGTAACATGCCCCTTACGAATACTGATACAAAAACAAATATTAGAAAAATATATAGGAAAAATTAAGATTTGCTATGCGAACAGATTTTGATTCAAAGATTACAATTACTTGTGCTGAGGTTATGTTTATATTGTTTTATGTCTTTAATGTAATAAGTATACAACTTTTAGTAGATATGAATTATTACTATGATCTGAATTGTTGTTTTAGAATAAAACAAAACATATACATTGTAATTAGAAATTTATTAACAATACATTGGTTACAATTTTTATTTGCGATCATTTAATAAGAACGTTTACTTACGTTTTATACCAATATCGTAATTCACCATTAATAATTGCAGCTCATGTAATATGTTCATTTTTTATTGAAATAATTTTGGCATTTTAGTAAATTCATATCTCTGGCTCTACCATATAACTAACCCAAAGATATTTTTTTATGCGACTTTATTTGTATTTTTCAAAAATATACAAGAACATGTAAATATATAGCTACATCTGACAGTTTGGCAGTTCGAATTTAGCATTTGCCCCATAACACTTCCTACGATAAGTACATTAGTTAAGGGATTAAATTTTGAAATTTTATACAATATTTAGCACACATATAATATTTGCTTCTTTTTTTATTTAGCTTAAGTTTAGGAAATGACTATGAATGATTCTAGTGAATGATTTTAATATATTCTTCTCTTCACTGTTATTAAATTTGTGTTACAAACAATTGGTTTGTGTATTACAAAAAAAAATTTGCTTTTTAATATCAGGTGGCCACATTACATATATAAAGGGTATATTTATCATTAATTACCTCTCACCTGTGTGTCTGCTCAATGGGAATTTTATCGTTATCGAATTAAATGTTTGAAAAGAAATTTAACTGATAAATTACGTTTTATTTATTCCGCCTTTTCCGCCTTTTTTTGCTTCTCTCTATATAAGTAGCTAAAACTACGGAACTAAATATTAAATAAATGAAATTAAGAATCTGTTAAAATTAATTTAAAATGTTATGGTAATATTAAATTTAATCAATTAATATACTCAAATATACTTTGGTATGCTTATATACTCCACATAATGTCTTCTAACGTGATTATTTGATAAAACTAAAGTTGAAAAAATATACATACATATATTATGCTGAAATAGGAATCGAATAATTTGAAATATATTAAATTTAATATATAGCTGTGGATTACTTTTTATGAAAATCGGCGAAGTAGAGCTTAAAATACTACAAAGTAGAATTGCAATAATTACTCTCCAATGGTAAATATATGTTAAATTTTCTAATGTTTACTTTTACATTTTAATAAATTTTTTTTTATAAAAATTGCATTGCAGTTTTTAAATAAGGTACTTTTTTTAATAATAAACAGTTTGGACATAATTTTTCAATATTTTATTACAAAGGTATCATATTAAAATAACATATGTATATAATAGTGAACATAAAATTATAAAATTAACAATTAATAGTTTAAATGAAATAAATATATTTGTATTTAAACAATTGTTTAATTATGTGAAATTTTGGCAATAATTCCAGGTTAATTATACGAGTAATTTGTTAGATTGAATTTTACTGAAAGGACAGTGACGCAATAATTTTTTAGTGCGTAATTTGTTTCTAAATAAATGCATCATTGTCCTTTCTTATGGGAATTCACTATAATTAAGTCAAAGGTTGATAATGACTATTAATACAAATATATTAATGAAATTTGCCAAAAGTTGAAATCAATTAAAAATAATTACTTAAAGAAGAGTAAAATTTGATGCCACAAATAATACTTATATATATTTTTACTCATATTTATTTAAAGTAATATATAAAATTTAATTGGCCTACAATTCAATGTATATAATATAATATATAATGCATATAATGCAATATATAATGTACCTAAAGCAATATATAATGTATATTACATTCATACATTCATATATGTATTTCCCTACACGCATTCATACATTGAAATTGAAATAAAATAAAGAGATATTTTTATTAGTTCTTTTATTTTTAATTTAAGAAACTAAAAAATTCTTATTATTATTAAGAAAATACTTAACATTCCAATTTTATTATTTATTTAATTTGACAAAAGAAATTACATTCTTAATATAAACTAGTAGTAGAGTAGAGTTACTTTTAGTAGAGAGTTATTTCAAACAGTATTAAATCATTGTTATTGTTAATGTTTTATTTTAAATCTTCTTTAATGGCAACTATATTAAAATTATTAATTAAATTTTTTTAAATTTTATATGAACATAAAATGTTATGTTTAAACATAATGTCAGAATATAGAAGAAA